ACCTATTCCATTTTCTACATTTAAGTGGTATGTAAAATATCTACTCTTTCATACACGACCATAACCTATTTGTGTTTTTATATAATAAGCTAAAGATGCATCTTCAGATGTAAATGAAATGGTTAAACCTCAATCTGAAAATTGACCATACCCGTCTATTAATCCTGCTAGATAATGACCTAATTGTTCATCATTTAGAGGTTTCAAATGTCTAGGAACGTGATCAGACACACGTTTTACATTTTCTGAATTTACTACCCTGTTGCGTATAGCCTCTGAGGTTCCATTTTTCATATAAAAAGTGTTACCTGCTGATTTCCTTAGTTCTAACTTTTTTACGTATTCTGTATTTGTGCCAATTAAGAAGAAGTATTTAGAACATATACAAGGGGTCCCAGCAAACAGCAACATTAAGAGGCCTACATATGTAACCTCTGGATGTCCGAAGAATCCATTTCTTCAAATTTAACTTATTTGTATTCTCTTGTTAAATCCAGGTACCGGTAGTTTAAACTCCGGGCTTGTGTATCATTCATAAATGATAGAAGAAACCGACTGTACATTAAGCATCATTTCAGACACCTACCAGTGAACCAGTCTGTAGCGGTCACTTAAATAACCGACGGTCTTTAAATGAGAAATTTATTGACCGTTAACACTAGTATCGCTAATATTCATATTACTTTTCCTTATATTTATAAATATATATAAATTTTGAACAAATCCTTATAGAAACCTATAAACCTTGAACTTAAGAGTTGCAAGTAATAATAACTGAATATTAACTAAATCTAAGGTATATTCTTATAATAATATTCACTATTTCAGATCTTATATCTTTTTACATCTGTCTTTATAGTTTCATAACTTGCACGTTAAACCTTGACTTTTTTTCCCTAGTATTTTGAGTTTGTATTATTTGATCTATTTATCATTTTAGCTCTTTCAATCATTTCTTGTCTTTTTGACTCATCTAAATGATTTTTATTAACAAGATCATTGTGAATATCTTTTCATAATTTATAGGATAAAGACTTTTTAGTATATAATGTGTATTTATCAAAATAAGAAAAGATATATTTACAATTGTTTACTCCACCTAATCTAAATTCATAAGTATTTTCTTCTGAATGTCTAGAAACAATCCCATTTTTAAATAATACAGTTAAATGGTTTAATAATGTTAGATTTATTTCTCACTTTTGAGAGATATTAAAGTTGAAACTAAATCCTTTTTTTTCAC